TTTGGGGGGGGGGGAGGGTGTCCCATTTTAAAAAAAATGCTTTAGCTTATGAGAGTTGATTTAGAAATTTTCTGCCTCAATATTATTAAATATTATCCTTCTCTCATCACTCAGATATTTACATATATTTAGATGTAAAAAATTGCAATATTCTTCTGCAATCCATCTCTCTCAGAAAATGCATTTACACAATAAGTTTAATTCTTTTTACTCAATTTTAGAACTACAATTTTAAAAAAAAACCCTCAGAAAATACTTGTAAAATCTGTAAAGTACTGATGTACCATATGTATACCTGCTATTTAGATTTGAATATCTGAATGTTTTATGTCTCTTTTATTTGAAATCTTATTTGACAGGTTCATGTAGACGTATTGCAATTTTTAAAAATATGGAGTAGAAAACAAGTATCAGTGAAAAGCAACACATTTGAATGCATCTCAGGTTAAAAGTTCACATGTAGTTCTGGAGTTCTCAATAGATTGTGCAAGACAAAAGGTGTTAAAGCTCTCTTTCACTGCTTTCTGTGCACAATTGACACTAACCTTTAATTGTGACTTTTAACATTTAAAAGGCAAGATACTGACTCCAGTTATGGAACAAAAATCTCCTTTTCCTTCTGACATCTATTCTTTTTTCCCCCCTTCTCCCTGTGTTCTGTTCTCTTGAAACTCTTACAAGTATACAGGAGAAACAGGCATGTTAAAATTACTTGGTAAGTTAAGGAAGCTTCCTTTACCTATAGCATGCTAGATTCTGAAATTTTAACATTGCTTGCTGTGATTTCCATATACTCTCGCTAGCTATTAACTTATCATGAAGTGCAACAAGCAAAATTGGCATTATTTCCCATCTTCCTATTATTGTAATTCACGTACTAAGAGAGGAAAGCAGCTTATTTTTAAGATGACATCATATGTACCTTTCTCACTTCTATAATTGTAAGAAATAGGTCAGTTCAGTATGTTTGCTCAGTGGATAGGATCCAGTGCTCTTGCACAGAAAATGTTATCCAAGGAAGCAAAAGTCACATTTCCCCTTTCCAACTCCCCCAGTATGTTCCAAAACCCACCAAGGTAGACACAAGGGACTGGATGCAGAGGTAGAATTATCCCCTATTGATTCCATCAATGAAAGAAATTTCTTCAGAACAAGAAGAGCCCTGGATGCTATCCCTGCCCTTTTTCCCCTTGAAAAGTTTATGTTAAAATGTTGACATTTGTAGACCACCCCAATCATTCCTGTTCTGGGTGGTGTACAACAAAGCAACCAAATATATCAGCATGCTACACCCAGTAAAAAGCAATCGTCCAAGGTCAAAGGTCTGCTTGAACCTTTTTGTTCAAAGTTCAAGTTGCCAAAGCCTTATTAGTTCAAGTTCAAGTTGCCAAAGTTCAAGTTGCCAAAGCCTTATTAAATGCAAGGAGGGTCCAGACATGGGAGCCACTGCAGAGGCCTGCCATCCCATGTAACTCTCTTGAGGTCTGGACCAGATGAACAGAGTTACATTTGGCAAGGCAGTTCCTGATACATGTTAGAATTGTTGTAGTACTTTTTACTTGAGGCCTTTATTAGAGTATGCTGGGCAAGAATGTGCGTATTTACTTGGCAATAAATCCGATTTGTATTATACACAAATGACACAGTTGATGTGTGTGTCTTACTAGCATTATTTTAATTGAAATAATAATGTTAAAACTTTTCTTATTTTCTTAATTATGACTTTGGTACCATAACTGAGGCCCTACCTCACTTTCTCCTTCTCTGTTTCCATGTTCTGTCCACTCTCTCTTGTCCTTTTCATCTGTTTATTCAGACCGACAGCATTCCTGGCCATCCTTTTCTACAGAGCAATCATCTCCCGGTTCTCCCCCAACTCCAGGTAAAGTCAGCTTCTCTTTGCTTTCATTCTTTCATTCTAAACTGTCTGCTCCAGAGCCTGGATGTTGGCATGTTTGGTATGGATTAAGGGAAAATTAGCATTTTCCCCCAGGCATGGAAATCTTGCACGCAGTCAAAATTGCAGGTTATCGCCATTGTTGTATCATCTGGGTGCTTTCCCTACTCTGGAACCAGATTGGAATAAAAAACACCCCTCCCATTCACAAAAAAAGATTGAGATCAGAGAAAGGATACTCTACTGTTGAAGTTAAGAGAAGGAGAGCAATTTGTTTTGCCTAGTCATTCTTCCATCACCATGAAACCACAATATTGTCTTAAAACTGTAATTCTGCTGAAATGAGGGGAAAGGATGGAAGATCTTTTTACCTATTTCTTCTTCCTCCTCCATTCCCTTCACCACCTATAAATTAATTCAGGGACTCCCTGAACTGCTGGAAGAAGGAATGTGCAAGTATCTTTTCCTCCACTTTTCCTCAGAAGATTACCACGTGGGCAGAATTACATCTCAGCTCATCAGGATTCAATCCATTGTAAATAGGAATTTGGCATAACTGGCTGGATTGTTTAGAGGGGAGATTAATTTGAAGTCAAGAAGGTGACACATGAACAGAAGGTTAGAAGCAAGTGAATACATGGAAGTTCCTATTTTCATTTAGAAATCAGTAGAAATAAAAGGCAGTGGTACATTTTTGTACTCGACACTTTCTCTGGGTCTAGAATAGATTCTACCAATCTATTTTGACAGAACATCTGTCTAAAAATGTAGGGACTTCCTTTCCTTTAGAATATCTTTCTAAAAATGTAGGAGCTCCATTTTAATAAGGCAGTTTCCTCTCTCCCTCACATACCTGTTTTCATCATGGGTCCAATAAAATGTTCTTCTCAGTTGTTTAGAACATCAAGAAAATAAAAGAGATGAATTAGAAAAGCATTAAATTATACTTGGTAACATGGGTGAGTAACTTGTGGCCCATGCATTGCATATGACATTTTGCCATGATCAGTTCAAACTCCTTGTAAGAGCAACCTGTTCCTTTCTTGCAGCTTCTTCCTTGAGAAGAAAGCTACAAGGGTGTCCGAGGCTGGAGGTCCAATCTTCCTTGTCTTTTGGCTATGTCTCTATGCACTGCATATTTCAGCCTAGGTGCTTCTGATGGATTACCTCTGAGAAAGGATATCCCTTGATAGAAAAAAGATTGCTTACGTTTGCTTAGGGCCACATTAAAACACTTATAGTATTTTATCTTCGTAGGCCCACATTGTGATAATAATCCAGGTGGTGAGGGTAATAACAGTATTCCCTGGACCTATATTCATTAGTAACTTACTGTCAAACACCAAAAACATCTGTCAGGCTATCCCACCTCCTTTACATGGAAGATCTGAAGCTGTATGGAAAAATACCATCTGAAATGGAATTGCTGTTATAAAATTGATTGATTAC